TAACAGTAGCAAAATTACAGTTATGAAGTAGCAATGAAAATAATTTTATGGTTGGGGGTCACAACTTGAGGAACTGTATTAAAGGGTTGCGGCATTAGGAAGGTTGAGAACCACTGAATTAGAGTCTTGTATGTCTGGCCACGGATGAGGTAAACATGTCCACAAAGTGTTCTAAAAGTCTCTCAGGCAACATGGAAATGCAACTCCTGAATAGTCTTTAATAGTGTAGTAGACTTGTAACTATCTCTGAAATAGGATCCCTGGCATCCTATCAATAAATCTTAGCTGACAGTAATAATTGAATGAAGCTAAGAACAGGGCACTTTGCCACTGAATTGAAATACTGGTAGTTTCCATATACTCTGCTACCATTAGGCAGGCAAGCAATAGTGAGTAAGGCTGATTAGTATTATATTGTACTTTAGATATCTGACTGGAGAAGGATACTTTGTGTGACCCAATGTTTGTAAAATAGGAAAATAATGATTATATTTATCCAAATGACATGGCATTTATTTCAACTTTAATATACTATGCAATTAAAGCAAATTAAATGTGTACCCATTTTTATAAAATAATCTTGAAAATTACTGCAGTGGATAGCTTAATAAGTACTTGTCAAAACAGCCTGTTATGAGTTAAGATGTCTACCTAGAATTAAAATATTGACAATATAGTAATTGTTTTAGGCTATTTAATACTTTGGAGTCATAATTGAATAAATATATTCTCCCACAGTGTGCTGAAAGTACCAATTTACACTTACACATTTTAAATCAAAGACTTCTCCAAGTGTGGCTTAATTTTTTTATTACTATAAATATTCTGAACTAGTAGACAAGTTTAATACATCCTATATAATAAAAGACTAATATGCAAATTGTCCCCTTGAGAGTTCAACCAACCAGTTTGACCACTCGCTATGATGTGCACTGACTACCAGGTGACTTGGAATGAAGGAAGGCCCTGGCCAGCAGTCAGCAGCCAGGGGAAGGAAGTCCCCGATTGGCCCTGATCGCCGGCCAGCCCTAGGGATCCTACCTGTGCATGAATTTCATGCTCTGGGCCTCTACTAGTAATATAATATATAAAACTGTATACGTTTAAAACACTTTTTATGTGATAAATTTTAGTTGATTAAATTAGTTTTGTAAATATAATAAATATAATTCAGTATAGTTAACAGTAATATCTGCCTAATGCTAATATTACTACAAAAGAAGCCAAAAAAAAAACAAAGAGCAGCATTGTACAGACAAGGTTGGGGGTTTGGAGTATTATTATGATGTTTGTTTTCTCATCCATAAGATCTTTCCTTGAATCCAGAGTCAAAGGCACGCTTTCCTGGGGAACATGTATTTTTTCTTTGTATTTGGTATTTCCTCAGTTATACACAAAAAGGAATTGGATAAAACTTGTAACAGCTAGAGCTCCACATTAACATTTGTTTCACAAGCCATGAATAATGACAGCAGTCCTTTGCGTACATTAAGAAGCTCCTCTTCTTGCTATGGCCAAGAAAGAAAACTATGTCATTATTAGAGATTCATTTTAAAACAACCCCTTCCATAACGCCGTAACAAATGTACTCATTCTCTGCTCCCCCAGCATCTAGTCCTAGATATCTACAGCACTTGATGATCATCACTGATCACCAATTGAGAGACGACTTTCAGTCTTTTCAATCCCAAGTCAATGAAATTTATACTTAATATTTAAAGAAATAAAGTAAAGTAAGTATAGGCTAGGAAACAATTTCAAAAAGGATCAGTCTAGTTAGTTAGCTTGTCTGCTTCAAGGTCAACATTCTGATCTTCAACTATTTCAGCACGTTGAGCTTCTATTAAAATTTATTAAATACATTATGCCTATATAAAAGGATTAGTACCAAATATACAAAAACATGCCTACTCTCTTTGAGAAAAAACCGGACACGTTCCCTTGGAGCAGTGCCTTTAGCCCCCATACAACTGTACTTTCCCCCCAGAACCAGCACTGGTCTAGACCTGTAAGAAGCACTTAATTTTATCCCCAAATCTATGTATACGAAGTCTTGCTGTCCAAGTGAACAATAATTTTTGGGGGGTTTCCTGATACCCCTTCTCCTGGAGAAGGCAGAGTTACACTGCTCTGTATAGTGCTCAGACTCATTCTTCTAGAGACTGTGCAAGTGGGAAACTGATAGTCTTTTTTCTTTTAGGAGGGTCTCTATTTATTCACTATTTATTTATTTAACATTTTTTTTATTGATTTCAGAGAGGAAGGGAGAGGGAGAGAGAAAAACATCAATGATGAGAGAGAATTGAGCCCCCAACCCAGGCATGTGCCCTAATGGGAAATCAAACCGTGACCTCCTACTTCATGGGTCAATGCTCAACCACTGGGCCACACTGGCAGGGCAGGAGGGTCTCTTTTAAATCACCTCTAGTATTTTACTATAAATATGCTCCCATTATTCTAATTTACATACCAAAGTCAACTAAGCTAAAACTGCCTCCTCTCAATCTAAAAAGAAAACCTGTGAAACAATTTCCCGTTAAAAGAAAACCTGTGAAACAATTTCCCGTTGAAAAACCCAAACTAGATAATTGATTTACCATTTTCTTAAGAAGCTTGTCTTGCAGAATTTTCATGTTTTCTTTCATGGAACACATCTGTAAAATCAACATATGTATTTTCCCCATGAAATTTACTATAAAATTTTCACAAAGATAGACTAACCAATACTGAAATTATATAAAAAATATGAAATTGATACCTCAGATGTACAAATAGTTTCTTCTTGACCTGTGCCATAGAAGACATTTTTGTCCAAGGAAGCTTTCAAATGGTGAAGCCTAACAAGTAAAATAATGACAAGTTACAAAGGCATTTATCAGGAAGTCAAATTAAATCTCTATAGTATATAAAGTAAACATTTAAATAATACAAACTAATTTTATAGATTCCAGTCCTAGAAAGTGTCATACTAACCTCTCTTGTTCACTTTTTTGATAGACACTGAACTTCTGAACCACCTTTTCTCCAAAGTCCTAAATTTTAATACAAAAACTAGTTATGCTTTAATAGCATTAAATACTCAAAGTTGACAGTAGAATTTTCTATATTTCTATTTCTAATTTAAATAAACAAGCTGGCTACATGCTAAGAATATTCCAGATGTTATAAACTCTTTCTAGATAAAAAATATTGAAAGTAAAATCTCTCTTGATTTCTCCCTCATCATAAATTTAAAGTCTATAATTTAAGTGTGTTTATAAGAAATCAACTACAAATATTTATGGGGGCTCTAAAAGCAGGTCACCAGAGGTTTTCCTGAGTATAGCTCTTTAAAAATGAGGTTATACAATTATTTTTAAATTCTTAAAACACAAACCGCGAATTCCTTCTCCAAATCTTTTAAAGACTGTGAATCTTTTTCAAAATTCTCCAACTCCTTTATGATGCTGAAGTGGAATTTATCAAGTTTTTTTATCCTATTAAGGAAACAAAATAAGATTATTTTTAAAAACTATAGCACTCAGAACATACAGCATTCAAAGGAGATTTTTATTACATACCTGTATTCCTGAATATGACGGTTCATTATTTTCAGATGTTGTTGAGCTGTTTTCCAAGACTGCATAGTAAAATTATCCATCAATTTGTGGTGACTCTGAAAAATATTTGTTAACAAAATAAAAAACAAAGCCTTTTCCACAAAATGTAAATGACTAAGAACTTTGAAAAGTGAAAAATTAACAGCTCAGTGATTGAGCCGGAAGTGTTAATGAGTAAGCTCAGGCAGAGCAGTTCTGCTTCCATCAGAAAGGCTTTGACTAAGGGCTGAACTGGCAACTAATCATTTTCATAAGGACACTACACTCTACAATATTTTTAAAAAATGCGAGTGATTACAATTCCCTTCGGGAATACAGCCTCAAAGTCAGAGTCAGAATTATTTATCACCATTTTTCACAAAAACATATACAGGCAGCCCTCGGGTTACGTCGGACTCAATGTACATCATTTCGTGGTTACATCGCTATCTCCCATCTATACTAATAAAAGGGTAATATGCTAATTAGACCAGGAGACCTTCCCAACATCATTCCGGACAAAGCCATGGTGGTGGGGGCCAAGGCAGGTGCAGGCTGGGCTGAGGGAACACCGCTCCCCCCACCTCCGTGCACAAATTTCATGCACCGGGCCATTAGTTTATTTATTAAAAAAAAAAAAGTTCCGTCATTTTGATGTATGTACATATGTGCTTTATGTTTTTTATCATTTATTTACCACAAGTAAAGGTTAAGAATTGTTATCTTTATTTTAAATTTTTTTTACTGTTTCACTTCATTACTGCTGTGTATGTGCTCCATGTGCGTGATATAGGTGCTTATGTAGGTGGGTTCCGACTTACAGTGAAAATCGCATTACTTCATGCCGTAGGAATGGATCTCTGATGTAACCTGAGGACCTACTACTGTATTCACATCTAGCCAGATGTATAATACAGGGTGTGGCAAAAGTAGGTTTACAGTTGTGCATAAGGATAATAAACTGTGTTTTGAGTACTCAGAACTGTAAACCTACTTTTGCCCCACCCTATATACAAGTCAGGGCTTCTCTATTTTTAAAAAATATATATTTTATTGATTTTTTACAGAGAGAAAGGGGAAGGGATAGAGAGTAAGAAACATTGATGAAAGAGAAACATCGATCAGCTGCCTCCTGCACACTCCCCAGTGGGGATGGGCCCGCAACTAAGGAGGGCTTCTCTATTTATACTAGGTCAACCCCAAATAAATCAACATGACCACATTGGAACCTCAATAACTAAGGATAAATATATACTAGTAAGTACAGAGCTGGTCAAAGTGAAATGGGATTTCTCTGACAGGCTGCTCATCCTTTAGTACCCTCACTAGCTGTCACCTCTGAGATTAAAAAAAAAGAACCACCACAGAAGAGTCAAAATGTTAAACCAATCTACTTATATAAAAACCATGGGTGGTGTTCATCACATCCAGAAGAACAGCCGCGACCAACCGGAAGGAAGTCAGTCCTACAGGGATTGTCTTGGCAATGGCTGCACCCTCCCCAGCTGTTTCCTGGAGCTGTTTCCGGCAAGGGTGGGGTTTGAGGCAGGAACCCGCCCTGGGAGGGTGGTTCCCTGGGAGTGTGCCACACCAGCACGGCCAGGGGTAAACCTGAGTGGGGGTGGCTGAAACACTTAGAAAAGACAGGCAAGAGAATGAAAGCCGGGTCTTGGTGGGACACTGCTTCTCTGAGAGACAACAACCCTGCCCACAGCCATGCCTTTATTTTATAGCAGATGCTACGAAGCAAAATAAGGGCGTGACCGAGTTGTTTACAACATTCTCCTAGGTTTCAATCCTACTCAACAACATGCACCTGAACTCTATCAAGCCCACATCACTCGGGCACATGGGGCCACGTGTTTGGACCATAGTGAACTCTATAGCCCACATCACTCAGGCACATGGGGCCACGTGTTTGGACCATAGGTTCAAGCTTACAGCTACAGCTGTTGGCTATAATTGTGCTGAGAGGGCCCTGCCCTCCAAGCTGGGACCTGCACACAGCAATGAGAGGACTGTGCC